TTTGCAGGTCTTATGCCTTAGTGGTATAGCGCGCTGCGGTTACTTTAGGGCTGCGGGTTTGATTCTCGCTTGTGCCATTTTTTGGGCTTTTCGGAAATTCTTCAGCGTGTCTTAGCCGCTCTTGGGCGCTTCTGGGTGGCTAGTCCGGTGTAACTTAATAAGTTCCCGTGTCTGGGCCGCCGAACTGAAACTCTTGCACTGCAGACCGACACCTCGAGCAGGGACAACTCATCACACAAGTACGACAACGTCGACCCGTTCATCAAAACCGATCTCCGCAACCACACCATTCTTGATCCGTCCAACGCAACGGCGGAAAATTTGTCGACTTGCGCGCCCGGTGCTCCACTTGTGGTCAGCTTAGTCTCCCAGCAAGCGCACACCCGCCTCAAGGAGCAAGATCTGCTAAATGCCACTCGTGCCGCCGGGGTTAGAAACCTGCCCAGCCTTTATCTTGCGGAGGACCTGTGGTTGCTGAACGAGGGCTTGCATGGACTGTTTTGTGAAGAGGGACTGGTGAACTACGAGAGGCGGGTCCTGTGCGCGCTCGTCTACACCAAGTATGAGCCTCTGGGGGTGCTCTTCTCGCGTTCGTCGAGATATCTTGGCGAGATGGTCTATCAGATGCTGAACTGTGAGTTAATCTTCTGCATATCATCGTCATTGTCGACGCTAACATCGAACTTCCCGCTAGGCCTCCATGACCTGCGCTATGAAGCGCTGATCCTGCATCGGGATGTCAGCTTCAACAATATCATGGTGGTCAGAGACGAGCCAGACGGCAAGCCGCTGTTCATCCTCAACGACTTCGACCTGGCCACTCGCAAGACAGCAGACGGAAAGCCAGACGGAGGCCCGCCATCGAAGCATCGCACCGGCACGCTCCCGTTCATGTCGTATGAGCTCCTGCACGACATGTGGTTGGCCTATGAGGTCGTGCGCAAACCGTCCGGAGACAGTCCCTTGGTTCCGGCGCGCCATCATCTGCGGTTCGACTACGAATCGCTCCTGTACGTTGCCCTGTGGTGTGCCTTCAAGTGCGAGAAGCCGCGGTCTACCGAGGCCAAGGACGCGGTCAACATCCAAGTGGGGCACTGGGAGTGTGGGACATACCACAACATGTTCCTGCGTAAACGCGCGTTGCTGGCGAGCATCACGGGCCCGAGTTCCATAAGAGAGATACCGCTCTCCCCGCTCTTCGAACTGTGGCTCCCGTTCTTCGAGGCGTGGACGGACACCGTCCAGCCGGCCGACCGCCTGTTGCAGAGGGCAAACTACCGAGACGACCCGGCACCACAGGACTCTGCTACCGGGGGACACAGGACTGTAGATTGGTACTGGAGCCGCGACAGAATACTCGCTGCACTGCGTGAAGCAGAGCCGGTCCCTCTGCCGTCGTGACAGCATATACACTATCCGCAGGGTTATATACTTAATGTCTAATTATATAATGCACGCATTTTCCAGAGGTTAACATTAGGAGTGAATTCCTCGTGTTATTCAGATCAGGATTTGCTGGACGACTAATGTTATGGCGTACCATGATCCCTGGATATTCCAGCATCAAGTGCTGAGGTTAGGGTCACGGTCACGCCACCATGCTCTCACAGACGCAAGTCCCGAAAAGGCGGTTATGCACCGCCCAAGGCCTGTCCGACTTTTCATGTCGTCTCCCGCCCCCGCCCCCGCCCCCTCCCTCCCGCGGCCCACTCTTCCTAGCAGCCATCGCATGGCTTCCAGCGCCTTACGTACGTTCTTGGTTTGAACAGGTTGCTCCAAAGGCACTGCTTCGCTCATTCCTGGTTCGAACGAGTGATCAACGTTCCCATGGCCACGTTGGAACCTCTATCCGCCCGGCGACGCTTTTGACTCACGGACGACAGAGTTCCAGTGGTACTCCGGCATCTCTCGCTCAAGTGTATCGTGGTGCTTGGCCCATGAAGCTAAAGGATCACAGAATGGGCTGCAAGTGGTCAGTGCAGGTCTAAAAGGATGCTCAAGCGACGCTGCTGCGTATTCCACAAGGTACGTCGTGTTACTGCTTGTCACCAGAGTGTCTGCGCTCATCATCGTCGCTATCAATAGGCCCACTTTTCCTCAAACTCGAAATACAGCCGCGCCTCACCATACTGGCTCGTGTGAACCGGCACGACTCCTCCCTGTACCGACAGTTGCTGCATGTGTGAGCGTTCCTGCGTCTCCCGCCCCGTGTCGCCATTGTGTCCGTGTCGTACACGGGTCGACCAAGCCATCCAGACGATCTCATATCCCGGAAGCTCTCTCGAGCACCTTACGACAGCCCACGAAACCAGCAGACACAAGATCACAGACATGCTGTCATAAACACGCACCAGCTACACCCACCATCCAATTACTATCAAGGTCCACCAAGGCCGCGTCGAATCGGCTCGGAGCGATGTTGCTGCTCTTGTCGCGACGTGCACGGTTGGCGTGGAAGCTGGTGTACAAGCTCGATGCAAGCTCGCGT